TCAGGTCGCTCCTCCTCGCAACCGACCTCAGACCCGAACGGCGACATCAGCGCGTCTCGCCCCCGCCTCGCCCCGCCCCGCCCATCGAGCCTCGATCATTGTCAGCCAATCCCGGCCCGTTTTACAGTCACTTTTATTTGACGCGGGACGACGCCGGGCCGCCGGCAGTCCGACTGCATGACTTACGCCCCCTGGAGCCCCGGCCAACCTCCAGGCAGCCTCCAGGCAGCCTCCAGGCAGCCTCCAGGCTGCAGCCCCCGGGCACCGAGGCCCCCGGGCACGCCCTCGCCGCGCCCTCGGACGACGCCTCGGCCGATTTACAGCCCGTCGCCGCGGAAAAGGAGGAGGAGGAGGAGGAAGAAGAAGAAGAAGAAGAAGAAGAAGAAGAGAAGAAGAAGAAGAAGAAGAAGAAGAAGAAGAAGAAGAAGAAGAAGAAGAAGAAGAAGAAGAAGAAGAAGAAGAAGAAGAAGAAGAAGAAGAAGAAGAAAAAAGACATGGAGGAGGCACTCCTTGAAATTCCAGAAACCGCTGCTGGACTCTTGACTTTTCGAACCTTTCCTCTGTTTTCGGCGTCGGCGGCTGCGTCGCGGGCGACTCTTTTTTTCCGGACGCGGCCCGCAGCGCCTCACTCGGCCTGGGAAAGTTGGGCCCCGGCGTGGCGCGCCGTGGCGCCAGCCAGCCTAATCCTCTGCCCCGCGACCGCAGCTACACGCGCTACACCGCGAGCACCGTCGTCGTCTGCCTCGTCCTGGTTCGCTTCAATTGTGGCTTTGCGGTCAACTTGGTTCCTGGAGGAGCACTGCTATGCCCATTCATTCCTGCCCGGGGAGGTCCCCCCTCCCCCCCCCCCTTTCGTCTCTCTGACTCATCAGAGGCGCCTTCCCAATCGAGGGTAGGAAGGGCCCAGCGCTCACACACACACACACTCAGAGGACTCTCTCACACACACACTGACCGCAATTTGTTGTTGTACGGTAAGGCAGGCAAATTATTAAAGCAGCGAGCGCCGAACTTTATTACGAACAGGCTGCGTTTTTGGCCCGTGCTCCTTTGCTTCTTGGGAAGCCTGACTCGTATTTCACGGTGAGAGGGTCCGTCCGTCCGACCGAGGGACTGTCTCTGTCTGACCGTCCGACTGTCTGACCGCCTCATGAGGTGGGTGGCTTCGCGAGCTTCTGCTCCGGTCAGTGGTTATTTATGTCCCTGGAGAAAACGCCCGGAGTCGGCCGCCGCTGCTGGACAATGGCGGACAAGATTCCAGCTGGCGAACCCTCTGCAAGGGGTTTCCGTGGCGTAGTGGTCACCGTGCCCTTTTTCACACCGCCAAGTCCCAAGTTCGATCCCACGAAAAAATATTTTCAATTTTTCACTTTAATTTCCCGTATGTAAAAGCTTATTTTAAGACAAGCCAGCCTGCCTGTCGGAGGGAAACAGGACAGACATGTCTGCACCGTGTTCAAAATCTTTTCATGCGACGCCATTTTAAGGGGACAGTATGGGTTTGTTTACAAAGTGCGCTGAGCTACAACGCAGTTCGACCTCCTGGGCCCCCTACGTATCGCGGCCTCGGCGAGTGACACCCCAGCCGTCCTCTCCTCCCCGGCGTCATTATGGCCCGCAGGTTGAAAAGCTCTCCGACACTGTTGTCATTGTTTGCCATCCAATAAAAGTCATCGTGGAAGTCAATATGTCGTTCGTTTTGTTCCCTACTTGTACGTGATCGCCTCCTCCGGCTTTAAATTCTAAGTCGTTTCCGTTTCCAGAAATTCGAAATTTGAACGATGGGACTACACGCCTTTAATCTCTCGACCAACACAGCTGATGTGAGCTCGCATTCTGGAATAATTCATATCAGAGAGAGCGAAAGAGGAGAGGGAGAAAGAGAGAGAGCACATTCCTCGACGGGCAGCCTTTTAGCGGTACCCAGATGAGTGGGATGCTATGGGTAGCGAGTCTCATTACCAATCATTACACTGGGCATCACATACGGCATGCCGAGTCCGAGGGAGGCTGAAGAGCTGTTTCGTCGCTGCCACTGTCGCTCTCACGGGCTGCCCGGCACGGGTGCGAGAGAGACAGAGCGACCACGGAATTGATCGGGCTGGCGGGCGGGGACGTCCGGGTATACGCCGATTTCACTCGTCAACGCTCAACTACCATCGTTTTCACAGCCAAAGGGAGCTCAAACGGGTAAAGTGATTTGTGATAAGGATATAGCGGGCTGTGAACGTAAAAAAATTAACTGGTATTATTTTCGTATTTTAGTGATTTTTTTGCAGTGAACTCGCGCGTGGGAGTTGGTGGTCAAGGGCAAATCGGTACCGGTAGCAATCCGAGGGAGAGAAGGGTCACAGGGCAGTCGCGGGGGCGCCGCTCGGCTCGGCTCGGCTCGGCTCGGCTCGGCTCGGCTCGGCTCGGCTCGGCTCGGCTCGGCTCGGCTCGGCTCGGCTCGGCTCGGCTCGGCTCGGCTCGGCTCGGCTCGGCTCGGCTCGCCTCGGCTCGGCTCGGTTTGGATGATGAATCATAACCGTGGAATGAGACGGTAGCATCTCTGATTAAACGCTCGTATGTAAAACTCGGGAGCACTGATGGAGAGAAGATGACGACGGCAGCGGTCTGGCGGGAGGGCTGCACTCCGAAGAAACCAACTCGCGAATCGGTTCCATTTTCTCCTTCGCGAGGAGCAGGAACGGCGTCGCACGGTGGGCCCGAAGACCGGCGGAGGCGGTCAAGATCCAGGACGAGTTTTGAGCTCCAGAGCCGCTATGGGACTCGAACCGAACGAGGGACCCTACCAATGGATTGCTCTCCGAACGAGGAATCGATTGATGGGGTCACACGCTCGGTTCGGGTTCCATTTAGCGACTGTAGAACTCAAAACACGTCTAGAGTTTTGGCCGCGGGCGCCGGCCTTCTAGCCCATTGTGCGTCGCTCTCTCGAGTTGGCGAGGATTAAAGAACCGCGGAAGGCGTTCCCCGGATTAGCTATCGTCAAACTTGGAGGGAAACCGGGCGGTCATCAAAAAGAGCTTACGCCTGCTGCTGCGGTGGGGAGGGCGCGGCCGGGCGGCGCGGAGGTGGCGGCCGACGACGGCGAGGTGAGGGGCCTCGGGGCCGCGGCCTCGCCGATGAACCGGCCTCCGAAATAGACGCAAATGAAGTCGGTATTTGTCATCGCGGTGGGGAGTCAAAGCGAGCGGCACATTCGAACATTGCCTTGCCGCCGTGCCGCCAGCCTCGGCTGCAGCCGGCCCGCCCAGCCGTTTGGCGGCGACACAAATTTGAAAGTTGGAAGTGCTTGTCCCCGCGCTGCGGTGGCCTGGCGGGGCGGCGGAGCCTGCAGACACATTTCATCTCTCTCGCACTCGTGGGGCGTCCCGGCGGTGCGAGGGAGACAGCGGCAGGCGCGGCGCAGTTTCTTCCAGATTAATATGCGGCGTCCTGGGCGCGTCTTGAGGAGCACCGCGACGGCGAGGGGGAGGGAGGGGGAAGCCCGCGCCGCGCCGCGCGCTCGGCCCCAGCTGTCGCAGCCTCATGGGCGGGGCGGGGCGGGGCGCGGTCCGCTGTCAACGCCTCGGAGAGCTTTTCAACCTGCGGGCCATAATGACGCCGGGGAGGAGAGGACGGCGACGACGACGCGGGGAGGCGGTGCCGGCGGTGCGTCCGCCGCGCACCTGTAGAGCGAGACGCCGTCCAACTTTCTCGCCAGCGCCGCGACGAGCCCGACGAGGACGCCACGGTGGTTCGATATCTCGAGATTTGTGTGGTGGAGCGCGGCGCGATGCGGCGGCAGGGCCGCACCGCACAGTGGGCCAGAAGACCGGTGGAGGCGGACAAAACTCCAGACGCGTTTTGAGCTCCAGAGTCGCTGAATGGGACTCGAACCGAACGTGTGACCCCACCAATGGGTTCCTCGTTCGGAGAGCAATCCATTGGTGGGGTCACACGCTCGGTTCGAGTGATCTGCCGCTAACGCGTCTAGAACTTTGGCCGCCTCCACCGGTCTTCCAGCCCACTGTGGGGCGGTACCGTCGGTGGTCTTGCACGTCATGTCTCTAATTGCTGTCTGATGGGGCTAATCGCAGCATCGCCCCGGCCCGGCCCGGCGTGCGCATGGAGCATCCACTCCACATCTGTCTCCTCGCAGGGCCCCGGCAGGCCCTCGCAGGCCTCGCAGGCCCTCGCAGGGCCATTAAGACGATGGGGTCTCATTGGCAACGCGCTACTCCACAACCCCCCGGCGCGCGCCCCGACCAGGGCGGCGGCAGTGGCAGCCCACTCGCACAGGGCGCATTCATGGCTGCGATCGACGGGCGTGCTCGCCATACAGACCGCGGGTTCGACTACCGACGCTTCGGCTTTTACTTTCAACTTATTGGCCGTGACGGTGGTCCGCCGGGACACTTGGCGCGGAGAAGGTGAAAGGGTCATTGTCGCGGTGTCCATGACGACGAGCGGGACCACCCTGGCCCCGCCTATCGGGGTTCCCGTCGAGTAAACAATCCCACTGCAATGACGGCGACCTTCTCGGCGTCGCGGAGCGCAGCGCCACTCGGAGTCCAGAGTCCGGCACCTCCCCGATGAAGTAGTGCCACCCGGCGCACGTCGAGATGGGGAACGGCCTGGGGTGAGCCGGCAGACTGATTCCGAAAGCCGTTTTCGCGCTGTCTCTCTCGCACCTATAGGGGACGCGTGCGAGACAGACGGAACAACGAAAACGACTCTTGGATTCGAATCAGTCTCCAGGGCGCACAGTGACAGAAACGCGCTGAGGTCAAATTAAAAACGGCAACGCCAACAGATTCCGGCGGGAGCAGCACCCGGGGGACCCCGCCGGCGGGCCGCCGGCCGCCAACGCCGACGAACGCGATGACCAGACCGCGGCGCCGTCCAGGCCGTCCACACAGGGGGACACGGGCAGGCGGCGTGGCAGGAGTAGCAGCAGCAGCAGGGAACGCAACAGCAACAACAGCGCGGTGGACAACAACAACAACATCACGATGAACAACCTCGTCGACACGGTGAGTACTGCACGCCTGCGGGAGTCGGGGTAGGCAACCCGCCGACACCCGTGCGCAACGGGCCGGCAGCGCCACGGCGCTAAACGCGGTGCGAAAGCGCGCGCGCGGCCGGGATTCGAACCCGGGTCACTGACTGCGCCGTTTTCTTGTGACAGCGCGTCCGCGGCGCCGCGCTGCTCCTACCGACACCACAGAGGCCGCCGAACAGGTCGCGCTCGCGGCCGAGGCCCTCGGGGCTGCCGGACGACCACCACCGCCTCATGGCCGCGTACTACTCGGAGGCCGTCGGCACCCCGGTGCCCGACAAGCAGGCCGCCCTCGAGGAGGCGCAGCCCGCGCCGCCGTGCCCGCAGGTACAGGTACAGGTACAGTCTCAGTCAAAACCCGTGGAAGTGGCGGGGGGGCGGCACAGGTACTCCTGGTTCGGAGAGCAATCCATTGGTGGGGTCACACGTTCGGTTCGAGTCCCATTCAGTGCCTCTGGAGCTCAAAACGCGTCCGGCATCTCGGCCGTCTCTCTCCGAGGCGTTACTCTAATCCACGTTTGGCGGCAGGTGTCGGAGATGTCGCAGCTCTCGGACCTGTCGCAGCTGCTGCACTTGCCGCCGCCCAGCACGGTGGAGCCCAGCGTCGCCAGCGGTGTGGTGACGCCGCCGACGCCCTGGCGGTCCGAGTCGAGCAGCAGCACCATCCAGGGCGTCGTGGTGGAGGCGCCCGAGGTGCCCGTCGGCCTGCCGGACGCTCTCCAGGGCGCCCGCCAGGACACCGTGCAGGTAAGTGTGGCACTCGCAAAGGGGCTGGCTGGAGGTTTTAATCTGGTGGCTGATAACGTTCCGCTTGCAGGTCGTCGACGTGTCCGAGGCCAGCAGCACCAAGTCGCCACGTATACCCGGCGGCGCCCCCGTGAGCGTAGCCTCGTCCGAAGGCGTCGGGAGTGACTCGTGCGCCAAGGGCAGGGTGAGCCTGGCGCCCTCCGAGGACGCCCACGGCCTGCCACACCGTCCTGGCGGGGGTCAGCGCAGCCTCGCGTCGCAGTCCTCGGCCACGACGGACTCCTCCTCGTTCGGTGCACCGACCTCCAGGAGTGGCGACGGAGCGAAGCACGCCGACAAGAACTCCGAGGACACCATCGACGTGGGCAGCGCGATCGTGCACCACGGCTTCTACTTCGGCGCCAGCCTGCCGGAGGACACCGAGAACACGGACTACTTCGAGCAGGTCCGCGCGCTCACGCAGCAGGCCGGGTCGCGCATTGTGGACTACGAGGACGAGGTCGTGGAGGACGAGGTTCAGGACGAGGCCGAAGAAAACGGCGCCGTTGAGTACGAGACCGTGAAGTACGAGACCGCGGAGGAGACAGTCGAAGAGGACGACGCCGAGGAGTGCGTCACCGTGGAGACCGAGGATGTCCTGGTGGACGCGCAGAATGGGTCCGAGGCTGTTGTCGACAGCGTCGACACGGCTGTGAGTGATCCCACCCAACAGGACGCCGTCGAGAGCCAGCAGCAGATACCCGAACCACAGACGCCTCCCGAGGACACAGAAGTCCTTCCCGGCGACGCCGCCGACAACGCCACCCCCGAGCTGACGGAGATCGCAAGGGCCAGCATGGCCTTGACGGCGGCCAGCAGCAGCGTGCCGGACTCGGAGAGCATGCCGCTGTTCGAGGACGTGGAGGACGCCGTCGTGGAGACGGTGGAGGGCGCCGGCGACGACTCGCTGGTGGGCTGCGACATGGACCTGCGGCACGTGGCGGGCGGGCTATTCGACCCCGCGCAGTGCCCCGCGCCGCCGCCCCCTCCACGCGACGTGCTCGTCAAGGGCGGCTCGCTGCCCGCCAACGCCCCGGACACCGCGGACACGGCGGGCCGGTCCAGGCTGGCGGCCTTCAGCAGCTTCGCGGGGTTCAAGGTGCGGCGCAACAAGCAGCGCTCAGCTACCGCCAGCTCCCTGGCCGCGGACCGCGCCGCTTCCCCGTCCTCCGACGACGCCGGCTCCGTGGACTCGACGGGCAGGCCGCGGGGCGCGCCGATCAGGAAGCTCAGCATCGACCTCAAGGTGGCCGACGTCAAGACGGAGCCCGGCGCGCCGTCCTCGCACCGCAACTTCAGCGAGGTGATCCAAGGCATCAAGCAGGCCATCCTGCCGCGGCGCGGCGGTCCCGGCCGACGCACCATCGCCAAGCGGCCCCGCAGCAGCCACCCCAAGCGGAGCAGCGACGCCAGCTCGGAGGAGAACCTCGAGGCCGTCCTGGACCACGGTGAGCTCCACGTCCAGGACGGCGCCGACGTGCCGCAGGCTCCGCTGCCCCCCGACGACGAGGGCTCCGCCACCTCCGTCCTGCCCAACAAGTCCACCAAGACGTCCCGCATCCCGTCCAAGGAGAACAATGCTCCTGCCGGGCTTAAAAAAAATCATGTTGACCCATCGGTGTTCCTGGACATCGACAGCGCGGTGCGCAGCCGGGCGTCGGTGCCAGCCACGGCCAAGGACAGCGACACGCACTCAAGGTCATCCATCGCGCCACCCAGGACCAACTTCCTCACCGACGACGTGCTCAAGTCCCTGGCGCGCTCCTCCAGCATCAAGTACATCGACGCCACGCTCCGGTCCAACCTTCGGTCCGTGCGGAAGACGCCCGAGCGGTTCCGGAACGTGCCCGCCACCGTGCGCAGGCCCGAGTCCGGGACGTCGGGCTCGGGGACGCCGGCGCGCCCGAGCAACTCACCGAGGCCGAGCTTGTCCAAGAAGGCCTACAACATCCGCAAGCGGCTCAAAACCTCCGAGACTGTCATCTGCCGCGAAGGCAGCCGCTCCTCCGTGGACGTGGAGGGCCTGGCGGACCACAAGGAGGGCAGCAAGTACTTCGTGTACACGGTCAACGAGAACAACGTGACGGAGCTGTGCATGTCCGAGATGTTCGTGGTGCAGGAGGAGCCTGCAGGTGCACTGGAAGGCCCTCCGAACGGCGAGAAGCCCGCCGCCAAGGGCAAGGCCGGCAAGGCCGCCAAGGCCAAGAAGCTGGTCAAGAAGGTGAAGCGGGGCAGCGCGGCGTCCACGACGACGGTGCGGTCGCGGGACTCCACCACGATCCGGCGGCAGCAGTCCTCGCTCGTCGACAAGATCATCCACAAGAAGAAGAAGACCACCTCGCCCGTGTTCAGGCCGAAGCGAGGCAGCCCCGTGCCGGACAAGCTGGCCAAGGCGAAGCCCAGGGCCAGCACCGCCAGCTCGGCCAGCTTGAAGGGGAGGAAGACGGAGGCGCTGACGCGGCTGCAGCAGTTCAGCCCGGCCGACTGCGTGGTGGAGATCCTGGCCAGCAAGCCGGTGGCCGACCTGTCGTGCGACAGCCCGTCGGAGACGCGGAGGAAGGTGGACTCGTGCACGGGGGACATGTCCGCGTCCAGCGTGCACTCCGGGTTCACCGCGCCGCCAGTGCTGGCCAAGGCGGTGGCCAAGGCTGTGGCCAAGGTGCACAGCCGGCAGAGCAAGCTGGCGCTGGCGCTGCCCCGGTACCGCCCCACGTTGCGCACGCCCAGGATCTCCTGCGTGGGCATGAACGCCGGCAACGAGGAGGCGCCCTGGAAGGACAAGGACGCCGTGCTGGAGACCAGGGTGGTCAGCCGGGCGCGCGCGCCGTGCCGCCACAAGGTCCCGCACTCGTCGTTCTCGCTGAACCCGCAGAAGGCCGTGCTGGACTCCAGGACGCCGTCGACGTCGTCCAGGTGCCGGACGCCCGTCAGCGCCAAGCGCCTCGCGTTCCCGGGCCTGCAGGAGATGGCCGAGATGCTGTGCGAGTACTCGACGCTCACCGCGGGGCCCTTGGCGTCGGAGCTGGTCAGCCTGTTCGAGGCCCCCACCAAGGTGTCGCTGCCGTCGTTCGAGGGCTACTCGCACGCCGGGGTGTCCGCCTCGGCCTCGACGCGGCCGAGCATCGACCAGGTCCTGGAGGAGGTGGACCGCACCCTGGCGGCGCAGGACGAGGGCGGCGACGGGCTGCGGCAGCGGAGCGGCGCGGACCTCCCCGACGACAAGAAGGACATCAGCGAGCTGGCCTTGTCGGCGAAGGTGACCGCACCGAGCACCTTCAAGATCCGCGACGCGGAGACGGAGGCCAAGGTGGACGCCGCCCTCCAGGAGATCCTCAAGTCCATCACGGACATCCAGAGCACCTCCACGGCCAAGGCCTCGGAAGTTCGTTTCGATGCTTCCGCCACCGTCCAGCCCGAGCCAGTCACAGAAACAGTCCCCACTGGAACAGCCATCGCAGAAGCAGTCCTCACAGAAACAGTTCTCACAGGAGACACTTTCGCTGAAGAACCGGCGCCCCTCAAAGAAAAGCCCCGGCCGCACCTGCACGGCTTGTCGTACAAGCCATCCGCCAGACCGTCCACTTTCGACTTGATCGAAACCCTACTGTTTAACGAGCCCCCGAAGCTTGTAAAAGCAAAGAGCGCTCAGCTGGAGGACACCGTGACACGCTCCGCCCTGGACGTCAAGGTGAACACGTGGACAGAGCCGCCCTCCCCCGTCGCCACCGTGTCCGGCAGCGTGCAGGTCAAGACGTCCACCGCGAACGCCGAGTGCCAGCGAACGGGCACGAGCTCCCCGCACAGCGCGGGCACTGCGGCAAGTGAACGCCAGAGCGAGAGACTGTTCGTGAGGCGCTCCGAGATCCCCGAAGACCAGTGCAAGTGCGGGGAGGGCTTCGCCACGAAGCAGATCCACCGCAACGACCTGGCGCTGGAGGCCCTCGAAGTCGGGGACTACGCCCCGGAGTTGATTCCGAGGTCGCAGCACGACCTCCTGCGACCCAAGGCGGCGAACAGCGGGCAGCCCAGCAGGACGGCCAGTCGGGAAGCGCCGAGCGGGCCGCCGCCGCCGTCCGCCGCGGCCTTCCAGCGGGCGCAGGCGCGCATCGCGGCCCTCATCAAGGAGGACCTCCCCGCGACGTACATGGCCTTCCTGACGGACGTGAGTTGCAAACCAAAACGATGGCAGAGATGGGAAAAGTAGTGGCCCGCTCCTGACCAGGTCCGGACTGGCTAAGTCAGGGCCCCGGTCGCAGTGTGACGTCAAGGGCCCCCTTTTCCGATATGCGTCCTGTTTTAAATTTACTAGCCAGGGGCGGGTAAGCCGTGTTTGGTGACTTTGGGCGGCCACTGTGTCCATCTAGTTGACGTAAAAGCCCCCTCGACGCCCTAGTATTCTTATGACCCTACTCTTTCATGCCCTGTATCGGGAAGACGTTGACCACACGATTTTGCCTTTGACCGCAACGATTTTGGACCAAAGTTGGTCAAAAGTGGTCGAGTCTCGGAAATTTGCTGATTTGCTGACTTTGGGCGGCTACTGTGGTCCACAGTTGACGTAAAAGGCCACCCTCGACGTTTCAGTATTCTTAAGACCCCACTCTTTCATGCCTGTATCGTGAAGACGTTGACCACACCAATTTTGCCTTTGACCGCAACGATTGGGACCAAAGTTGGTCAAAGTGGTCGAGTCTCGGAATTTGCTGATTTTGCTGACTTTGGGCGGCCACTGTGTCCAATCTAGTGACGTAAAGGCCTCCCTCGACGTTCTAGTATTCTTAAGACCCCACTCTTCCATGCCCTGTCTCGGGAAGACGTTGACCACAACGATTTTGCCTTTGACCGCAACGATTTTGAGACCAAAGTGGCCCAAAATGCGCTTGATTTGCCGAATTCATGCGTAAAATCGCAGAATTTCGTGGAATACCAACAAAATCTCGCGGAATCCGGCATAATTTTGACGCAAAATTCTGCGAAATCTTGAGAGTTCCAAATGGGTACCCCTTGATTCAGTACGTAAATAGTTAAAGACCGCGACTTTGCCGCGGCCAAGAAGGCCCCGCGGTGGAAAGGCCCCGTGGCCCGCGGCCGAAAGGCCGCGCTTCGCGCGAGGCCCCGGGCGCGATCGCGCCCCCGCGGCCCGGGCCAGTCCGGGCTCGAGTCCGGGCCTGCTCCTGACCACCACCTCGTAACCGGTGCGCTGGTAAACCTCGAACTGATCGCCCCGTTGCCGGGCCAGGTGTTGCCGTTTTTCCTGCAGCGGACCAAGTCGGAGTTGGACGGCCCCCGGAGGAAGGTGCTGCAGCAGCTTTTCGAGGAGGACTACCTGAACCACCAGCACGACGAGGGACCTGGCTGCGGTCCTCGCGATGACCCTCAGGTTCAAGTTCAATCTTTCCTTCAACTTTTCTCTGACTTTTAATCAATTCCAGCGTTACAATTCGGTTCTTTTTGGTGGCAGACGCGGTGGTTCGTGGCGGCCATGGCGCAGCAAGTGGCCTTCCTGGTGGAGGACACGGCGCGGTCGGCGGAGCTGGAGCTGACGGCGTCCCTGCGGTGCTGCACGCCTCCATGACGGGGCGGCCGGAGGGGGCCTGTACCACACTGTAACAATATCACCGAGTCTCGCATGCGTCGCTCCGAGTCTTGGAGTCGGTGGTCCGCTTTCGCGCGGCTTGGGTCGTCGCTTTGACTTATTGCGACTGGCGGTCGTAAACGTCGTGAGCGTCCCGGGCCGTCCGCCGGGGCACGAGCTCGACCGCGCGGTAGGTGGCTAGAACGACGCCTTCCTGACAGGCTGCTGTGGTGTTCTCACCCGCCCGGCTGCAGCACACCGACACCACCTGTTTTCTCACTTTAGCAAAATAGACCTTTCGCTTTGTCACCCCGTGTCTTTTGCCTGGAGGGACGGGCTCCTCTCTCTCTCTCTGCCGGGAAAAGTTGGACGTTCCGCTGGACCGCCGGGCTCTGCACAGTGGGCCAGAAGACCGGTGGAGGCGGCCAAAGTCCACCGGCCTTCTGGCCCACTGTGCCAGGTGCTGCTAGTGTAGGGCTCACGCCGATGGCGGCTGATCTGAATTTACGGCTCCACTACACGGCGCGTCACGGCACGCCTACAATGTATGTTTTTATAGGCGGCAAGAGCGCGTCAAAATCTTAACGCCGTTTATTGCCCGTATTGCCGGCCAGCCGTGCAGTGCCGCTGCATTCCGTTATGCAGTCTGCCAGCTGCAGCGAGAGCTCTCGGCGGATTTCAGTAGCCAGTGCACAGTGGGCAACTACCACGTTTTCCATTAGCCGTGCGCACTAGAGCACCGCTCCATCGAGCCCACGTCGCAGGTTCGACACCGCTCACCACTCTTTTTTTTGTGACTACTATTTGAAATTTGTTGATTGTCACAGTACTTTCACAAAATATTTTCGTTCGATATACTTTCATTAAGCATTTTAAAGGTTTTTTTTAATGACTGTGAAAAAACTCAAAGCTCTTTATCCGACACAACAGAAGTATAGCTTTACGCGGATGGACGAGGGAATTTCGGTGGCAGAGGCAATGGGCCATCTCAAGCCAAACTTGATTGCTTAAAAATTACGAGGGTCGGGCGGCCGCCCGTCACACACGCGAAGCGATAGCACCTCTCACTCCAGCGATACGGGGCGCCTCCACCGGAAAATGGCTCCGGCGATAGGGAGTCGCACTCTTACAAGACGGCCGGAGTTACGTCTCATTTGCATGCAAGGGCCGCAGGGCCGCCCTCTCTGCCTCGCCCTGCCTCGCCCTGCCTCCAAGGGCGCCCCGCCCCACCGCCCCCGCGGCCCTGGCGGCCTGGCCTTTGCTCGAGGATCAAACTCGGATCCTTTGGTGGTCCGCTGCCTGGCTGGCTGCCTGGCCGGCTGAGCAGGGTGACCGCCCTCACATCCACCCCACCTTCGTAGCTGGACCGTTGCGCCTACTGCCCACAACCGACAAACCCAGATATCGCTAAAAAAGAGTCCGAAAAAAAAATCCTGACCGGGGCTGTGGAGATTCGATCCGGCAGCATAACCCCATCCCGCGGCGTGGTACGTGGAGTAAACACCGTGCAGTGTCCAGACCCGTTCCGAGAGTCTGTGTCTCTCGCACTCATGGGGCGTCTCGTACAGGCGCGAGAGAGACAGCGACGAAAACGACTCTCGGAATCAGTCCGGCAAGGCCGGCAAGGCATGCACCCCCTGGCAGCACGCGTCATTTCTTCCCTGCTGACCGAAGGCTTCCTGACCAATGGGCGAGCATCAATCATTGCCCACCACACCCCTAAACGGATTCTATTATCTTCGATCGCCTTGTTCCTGCGCCCCGCCCCGCCCCGCCCCGCCCCGCCCCGCCACGCCACGCCCCACCGCGTGCTCCGTCTCTGTCTGCTTTACATGCGCACGATGCTGGCCGCCCTCTCTCCGTCCCACCAAACATATTCTGCATCTCTGATGCGCCGAATTTCTCATGGCCGGCGTGTGTGTGTGTGTGTGTTAGTGCGCGTGAATGCACACGCGCTGCGTCACGTCGGCTGATTCCAGTTTGTCGGTGTCGGGAGCAAACTTCTCGCGCGCGCAATTTTTCATCCAATTTTCAAGGAGAGCCCCGTGCGGCGTTTCCTCAAAGTGGAGCACTGGGCAGCACACAGCCTCCCCCCCTTCCCCTCCCCCCCCCCCCCCCTCCCTCCTCTCCGGTGCGGTGGCCCTCGGTCTCTTTGAACGCGCGCGCAAAATGAGACGACCAAAGGAGAGGCAGCGTTGACATTTGTGTTTGCATGTAATTACTGACGAAAAGGCGCTGCGACATCGGCAGAAGAACGACTGCTTGAAATAATACTCTGCAATGTAAATAAGGCTCAGGTGGAAGGCACGGAGCGCAAGGGGCGCGCTCCCGGCGAGAAGAAAATTGGTCTAGTGTTCGAAGGTTGTGTCGTGTGAGGAGAGAGAGAGAGAGAGAGAGAGAGAGAGAGAGAGAGAGAGACGCACAGCAAGCGGGATGCGGTGGTGGAGATACAGACCGTGAAATGCTTCTAATTGATGTCCTCCACTAGACCCTGCTTGACCAAACTCAAACACAACACGCAACCCCTACACAAACTCACATACACGCACACTGACCTAGTTAACAAGCTCGCAAATAAGTTGACAACGGTGCCCCAAACTTTTGGCTGGCTCACCTGACAAAAATAAACGGGAACACTGGCACTGGGTCAACAAAAAAGGGGTAAATTTCGAGAGAAAAAAATTGAAGGTGTTGGTGGTATTTGAACCCGGGACCCTTCGGGCGGAAGCGAGACGGGCCACCCTTTAGCCTCCGCCCCGGCCACGGGTCGTATCTCCTCGCGGTCCGCGGTCCGCCGCACCCCCGCCCTTCCCTCGACGTATAATCGGACTAATGTAAATTATCTGCGTCTTGTAAAAACACCGCCACTGTTGGTGGGGGAAGGGGGATTGCGCAGAGCTTGACTTATTCTTCTGGAGGTAATTAAATACAAGGCGTAAAACTCCCCCGCGGAGACCGGGAGTCTCCTCTGAGACGCCCGGCACGTCGCCGCAACCCTTGCCTCCCCCGCCTCCCTGGGAAGCCTTAGATAAACTGCGAGCATCAGCCTCGGAGGTAGAAGAAGACCTGGCGGCGTCGCGGCGCGTCGCCTCGCCGTCAAATGGAAAGGAAGGAGACGGGCTGCTTGCCGTGATAGCGGCACGTTCAACCCGACACGCGTGGAGACACGTCTCCCTCGTCGATTTGGCACGAGAAAAAAAAAGAAGATTCCAAGACGCTTGTGGCTGGTATCGAACCCGGGTTCTCTGCGTCGCGCAGACTTCTCTAGGGCGCAGAGCTTGGGTTCGAGTCCGAGCGAACACTGGCTGGTTTGGAAACAGAGCGGCAGTTACCAGACGCCAGTACTCCTCGGCCAGCAGACTGATTCCGAGAGTCGTTTTCGACGCTCTGTTTCTCTCGCACTCGTACTCCGGAAGAGGTTCGCGGGAGAGACAGAGCGACGAAAACGACTCTCGGAAATCAGTCTGCACGGGCAGCGCGACTGCTGCGACTGCTGCGAGACCTCTAAATTCCCGCGGTTTCTTCCGCTGATCTCTTTGTGCTTAATTAGTGCAAGGAGCTGTCGTCTCGGCTGGCGCCGCCCCCGATCTCCCCTTTCGCAGCCATATCTCTTGAAGGCTAGTAATTAGTAGAAACAAGCCCTAAACCTCCGCGGGGCGGCGCTGCGCGGACGGCGCGGACGACGACGGGGTGGCTCTGACTCCGGAGAATCGTTCCGTCGCTCCGTCTCTCTCGCACTCACGGGACGCTCCGCAGGGGTGCGAGAGAGACAGAAACGGCGGTTCGGAGTCGGACGCTCGGCGAGCTCAAAGTGAAACCGAGGAGGAAGGTGATTCAGTTTCCAGTTTTCTACCCGCATGTGAAAGCGCTGAAAGGGTCTCACCGCGAAACGCGTCCAATTTTCTCTTTCGCGGAAACTTTTTTATTTTAGCTTGGCTGCTTTAGGTACGACCCAATTTCTTTCTTTTTAGGTAGGCTGCTTCAACTTTGACCCAGTTTCATTTTTTTTTTAAATATGTACGTGACGCGACTCTCCCGTAAGGCTGTCGAATTAAAACTGCCTAGGTACATAATTTTGGTTTTCTGGTGTTTTTTTTTTGTTTCTTTTTTTGGTTGGCCGCCCTGGGTGCCCACGCCTTGCGACCTTCCCGTAACGCAGTCAGCGACTGTTCCCGGCGTGTTCCGAATCGCGGATGCGCAGCTCGGCGGCAGACTTTCGTCGCTCTGTCTCTCTCGCACTCGTGGGGCGTCCCGTGGGGGTGCGAGAGAGACAGAGCGACGAAGCGGGCGGTGTCCATTGTGGCGGGACAAGGCGCAGCGTGATTGCAGCAGCCCTTCGGCAACCCTTTTGCAAGGCGAGACGCGGCCAGACGCCTTGCCGCGTCGCTCTGTCTCTCTCGCACGCACGGGGCCTTCCTGACGGGTGCGAGAGAGACAGAGCCACGCCACGCGCAGCGAGAAAACTTCATTTTTGTATAATTAGGGCGTTAATTTACGAGCGGGCGCCGCGGACGTAATCTTGATATACTTCACGACGAGGATGAACAAGACGTGGAGCCGCTGGAACAAATAGCAGCTCGTCCGGCACGGCACTGCTAAGGCCCCGCACTGCTGGTACACTGCGGGATGAGGAGTAATGCGGTCCGAGGAAGATGTTGACCGGGCCGCTGGTAGGCCAGCCGAATGATGTGTGGCCGGACCCGCCTCGCTCTCCTAGTGATGCACAGTAGTCTCTCTCTCTCTCTCTCCCTCTCTCTTCTCTCTCTCTCTCTCTCTCTCTCCCCCTTCTCTCTCTCTCTCTCTCTCTCTCTCTCTCTCTCTCTCTCTCTCTCTCTCTCTCTCTCTGTGTGTGTGTGTGTGTAAATGCAGCGGAAGTTGCCTAATTTAATTGCAGTTGGCGGTCGGTGGTGGCAGGGAGCCGTGGGGCAGCACAGACACACGTGTTTCGTGGTCACTGATAGCTTCGGCCGACGACACGCTCACACGCGTGCACCCCACCCCCTCCCCCACCCCCACCCCTGTGCGGGCCGGTCGTCGCCGGGGTTACCTTTCAAAAGGGAAAGGGTGGCGGGGATCTCAATGTTCTCCCTCATTACACGTGGCGGCGTCGTCGTCGGCGTGCTCGGGTCCGGTCAGAGGAAGCAGCCGGTGGCCGTGCAGCGGGGACCTGCACCCGCAGGTGGCGGCGCGAGGGAAGCCCCCGAACGGCGACACTCGTCGCCGAGGAGGCCGAGAAGCACCACCGCGACGAACTCCTCGACGTGCGAGGCGCCACTGCTGCTGCTGCTGCGGTCAGATCCTCGAACACA